ATTCTTTGGATTAAATATAATATTCTTTCTAACTATATACTAACACTCCAAATCTAGATTGGTCTTGACTACTATAGTCAGTTTAGGTCATAGATAAACTAGTCTGAGCTCTTATTTTTACATGTAATTTTTATTTTGTTTCAAACAACCTTAGTTTATTTCAGTACTTCTATACTAAAATATACAGTTAAAATTATTAATAAAGATATAAGCAAGACCTCACCTTAACATCAAAAAAAATTAAATTATTTTATTATAAACTAAAATATTCTTATTTAAGATGATAGTCAGATAAAATTAAATAGGTTAAATTTTATTATTTTTATTTATTATTTATTTTTGTTTTTTATTTTTATTTTTATTTTTTTTTAATTTATCTTAATTTAGTTTTATTTTTTTTATTTTTTTTTATTCTTAGGTATTTTTTATTAATTAAAGTTAAATTATTATTGTTTTTTGTAAAAAAATAATTACTTTAAATCTTATAAATCTGTAGATTACATTACTACAATTTATATATTATCATTGTTAAAACAATTGTAATATATAGAATTGCAACAAATAATAAATTTTTTTTTATTATTATTATATAATTTCAAGTAGGAAAAATATTAATACATAAGTATATCAATTGGATATAAATGTATAAGTAAGAATTATTTCTAAGCTACACTATTGTTGCTATATGAAGGTGAGTCAGTAGAAAAAAGACAAATCATTTTTAGTAAAATTTATTTAATTTTTAAATTTAAATAACTCAACAACTATTTAATCAAATTTGCTAAAAATTATTTTATTTTAATCTTGAAATTATATAGAATTAAAATAAAATAAAATTTATCAAATTTAATAAAATAATTGTTAAGATATTTAAGCTTAAAGTCAAGAAAACTTTTACTTAAAAAAAATTTGTCTCTTTTCTACTAATTCATCTCCATATACTAATGACATCTAGTGTAATATTATTTTTTGGTTATCTGTTATTAGTTAAATCAACTATTATAATCATTAACTACAGAAAGGGATAAAAGGAACCCTTAGGCTTGTTAAAGTTAATAAAGGCAATTATATATAGAAAAGTTTTAAGAAAGAGTTTTAGAAATAAAAAAATCTATATTTGTATTAAATATGAAACTATTGTTAATAGAATTGGAAGGTTGTAGAGTAGGTAATCAGATGTTGTTTTTCTTTTTAATTAAGACAATAATTTCTCATACTAATTCCCATTCATGTTGTTTAGTATTCCAGGTTTGCCAAATAGTAGAGTTGAATCAGTTAAGTAAAGAGTTGGATAGAAGAATAGGAAAATTATTTGTTAGTTTTTTTAGAGTAGGTTAAAGTTGTTTGTATTGGTCAAGAGTTATTGTTCCCTAGATGAGTAAGAGTATTGTATTATATATAGTAGAATTTGAAAGAGAGTTTTATGGATTTAGAATTTGTAGTATTGTATGTGATAAGATTTCTAAGAAGTTTAATAAGCTTAATATGTTTGAAATTTCATTAATAAGAGTGTTATGTGGATTGTAAATGTGAAGTGAATATTGTAATAAATGTATGATATTTTCATATTGATTGCAAAATAAGCAATTTGAGGTTAAAAAAAGGAGAGGGTAATGAATATTCAAATTTACCATTATGGGTAAGTTATTAAGAAGTATTTTGTTCCTAATAAAATATAATTTAGGGTTAGAGTTTTGAGAATTAATAATTTTAGTAAATAGTTATATATTTAAAGTAGGAAGATTTCGTAATATTTTGAGTTGAAGAAGTTCAACAAATAATAATTTAAATTCTATAAATTTTATATTACATTGTTACAATTCTGCATATTACTATTGCTAAAACAATAATAATATATTTAATTATAACAATATAATATATAAAGTTTATAGAATTCAAATGTGATAAAAAAAAAACAAATAACTACAATTCTTTATTTTTATTTTACAGGCAGATGACTCAATGGTGAAGTATATCTTCTTGTAGAAGTTGTATTTTATGATATAAATTTTTTGATTTTTCTTAATAAATTAAATATAAGCAATATAGGCCTATGATTGCATCAACAATGCATTAGAGAAATTGTTAGAACTACATACAGCAATAATATTTTTAATATTCAGTCTAATTTGTGAATAATATATTTCTTAACAAATAAAGATATTGAATACTTGGTCAGAAAGAAGAATAAGGCTTACAGATAATGATAATGGTCTTAATATTGTCTCTTATATTTGCAATTGTCATGATTTTCAATTATGACAATTATCATGCAAACATATATTTGCTGTATTAACAAACAATCATGTTTTAAAGAAAAAGAAGATGATCAACAATTATCTGTAAAATCCGACTTTTTTAATTCTCATGTTTGTTTTTTTGCAGATCAAACAAATAATGATGATAAAGAAGTTCAATTTGCAAAATTATAGGAAGAGCTTGCTGCAATTGCTAATGAATGGAAGAATATAAAAGGAGAAGACATTTACAATCTTTAAATGACTCTTCAGCAAGCTACACAAATAGAAAGATCAAGAATTGCAAGGTTAGAATCTGTTACTCAAACTACTAATAATAATAAACCAGTTCATATAACATTAATTCAAAAATCACAAAACAAAATAAGTATTAATTTTTTGTATTTTTATTTTTTATTTTATTTTTTTTATGCATACATGCATTCAAGCAAAGATCTGTAAGCAACTTGAAATTTTTTATGTATAATATATAAAAAAAGTTTTAACAATTAATATTAAGTATCTTGTTGTACTTGTCTATTATTTAATATTTAAGTTTAATAAAATAAAGTGTTTGCGCAGCATTCCAGATTATCATACTGGAAATGCATTAATAGAACTATATAAATACAAACCCTTCGTTATAAATTATCGTACAAATTATTGTATATGCACTAAAATGAAATAATTTTTTTTATCGTTTTCCGATTTGTTTTTTTTTAATCGAATAAGATAATTATATATTTTTTTTATCGTTATTTTCTTTATTATCGTTATTTTTTTATCATCGTTATTTTTATTTTTTTTTATTATCGTTATTTTTATTTTTTTTTTTACTATCGTTATTTGTTATTATTTTTTTTTATTATTGTTATTTTTTGGCGACATAGTTTTTATTGTCCAATCAGAGGCAATATTCACCGCTCCAATCAGAAGTGGTGGGGGAAATTAGGGCTCCCGAATTTACCCCGGTGATGAAATATCATAACAAAATTGTACCACCAATTATTTATCTATTACATATTTCATTTATTAATGTAAAAGTCTGATTTTTACTAATAGTGACGTATCTGTAACACATGATTTTATCTTATCACGGGCGTTAGTAATCGGGAAATAGATCAGTTATTTACTGCTCAAGTCGCCGATAACTCTCAGGTAGGGTTGTTAATGGGTTGGGTTAATCCAATTCTTAACCCACTCCAGTAAATTAGACTTACTCCAGCATTTCTCCGGTTGCTTCAGGTTGCTCCAAATTTAAAGATAAAGTTTAAACCCACTCCAACTTGGGTTGGGTTCTACTCCGGAGTCTCCGGAGCAAGCTACTCCATTAACAACCCTACTCTCAGGGCCCCCACAGGGACCCCGGATGATATCTCTGATTTCGCTGTTACATATTTAATTTATATAATCAACCAATTACAAAAAAGTCTGCCTGTATACCTAAAACCCAATCTAACCTTAATATAAAATGGCTCTAACCCTAAAGTTAACTCAAAAATATTATTTATATAACTTTAGACGTTCCTCTTTTTGGAATTAAAAAATTAAAATAAATCAATTCCGGCCAAAATTATGTATAATTCCGGCCAGAATTTTGTCGATCACAGCTGTTGGCTACAAGACTAGCAACACCAGGCAAAAAACTTTCGCACAGCATGTGATCTTATTGCAAAACCAAGAAAAAAAACTTCGCTAAGAAAAAACATTTCGCTATTAGGTTAGGGTTAGGGTATTACAATTAGGTTAGGTTTAGAGGGTTATAGTTATGCCAAAATTTTGTAAGGAAAACATTTTGTTAATACTCAGAAGACAGTTTCATAGACAAAATTTCGAGATACAGATTATTTTAGTTTCTTGAACTTTTTTCACGTTACACATCTCGAAATTTGATTTGGCAGCGAAATTTTTTAGACTGGTATTTTAAATGCTGTTACTGTTGGCGGGTCATTCGCGCATTTTTTGTGCGGCTAGGTTTAACCAGTTTACTACTTACGACTATCAGTTCAGCGAAAACCAAGTTCCAGACCGGTTCATAAACTGATTCAATAGGTTTCTGGTCCATGACTTAAGCCGGCCTATCAACTATAGTTACTTAAAAATAAATATATACGTATATAGCTGTAACCCTTGCAAAAATATTAATAGCTCTACGTTACTACGTTCTAAAATTTTAGAAATGACACCAGAATTTTAGGAAGATATCACGTTAGTTAATATTCACGAAACCGCTTGATCTTATTTCCCTAATAAATCATTCCTGTTACCCGATTCATAATTAGAGTTAACCTAAATTTAACGTTGATGAGAATTAAATATTGGGAAAATTGAAATCCAATTTGTGGTAATAATTGATAATAATATATTATTGCGCCACTAAATATGCGGCACAAGACGTTACGTTCGCAAGTTTCAATCTGCCGCATTTTAATTAACAAGTTACGGCTAGTTATAACTGAGTTTTGACACGGCACATCCCAATGATTCAAGTTTCACCTATACCTCCAAGTTCGACACAGTGAAAACTTAAATATTTACTTACAAGCTTTTTTCCTCCAACATCATATATCCCTCACCAGGTGAAGCATAATCCGTAATCTTCAGCTAGCCGAAAAGCTTTTGGTCAGACAAGTTAACCAATAATAAAGTGTTATATGTAAACAGAGATATGTTTAGTTATATTTTATTTTCTGCTCGACTATAGGTTTTCATTTTACAGCCAAAATGTCATTACATACTGTTATACAATTTTTAAAAGATAACTTATATAGAACCACCACGAAATGTAAAATACCAAACTCTTCTCGATAGTGATATTATTAAATTCCTTTGTTGCCTTGGAGCCTGTGCCTGCACCGGAGCTGGTAAGACACCATGTATATTTGATGTTGATGCTTCGTTATCATTATTACTTCCATCGTTCTCTTCGATGGCTTTTGGAGGACGACAGTCAAATTTGCAAAGAGGACAATTTGAAGATTTTTGTGTAAGCCATGTGTCTATCAAAAAGATAAAAATATAAATTTTAGAATTGTGATGCATATAAATTAGGGATGTTATCCTGCTTAAAATGCTCAAATCTGCTTAATGGGATTTGCTCGTTATTACTATGATTACTTTTCGATATGTGACTAGTTATAATGTTTTTAAGAAATGACAGCAGATACGTATTATCATTTTAATACTTAGAAACTCTGTTTATGAAACCGGTTTGCTTAAAACTGCTTGGAAACAATTACTCATTTTGAGTATGATTTTTTAACTTTTGCTACTAATCAAACTTGTTGCTAATGTCTTAAATCACTTATGAAAAATCAATTTAATCTATTTTAACAAGTTATTTGAAGAACTTTTTATGTAACATAAAGTAGGATAACATCCCTAATATAAATAAGAAGTTTTTTTTAATTACCTATGCATTCAGAATGATATTCATGTTCGCATGGTAGAACTCTCAATAAGTCCCCATCCCGAAAATCATCTAAACATATAGCGCATGTTGTCTGCAAATCTTGTATATGATGATGAATATCATTCTTTAAAGTATAATCTGTTGTATGTGATACTGATGCTTTTTTATCTGTTGAGGTATGAATGCTTGTTGAAGGGTCCGATGGAATTTCTTTGTCAGTTACTTCAGCAGACGTTGATTCAATAGGGATAACACATCCGGTCACTGACGTCTCCACTTTTTGTTCATTGTGCAACACAGAAGATATCGTATTGTCGGTAATTACTGAAAGGTCTTGAGTTTTATCTACATCTCCGATGTGCTTATCACTCACTAATACTGATTTTATGTTTTTCATTTCTGATGACTCTTCGTCATCAGTTAATTTTTTGTGAGATACACTAATTCGTGATGTTGAATTAATATCTTTATCATGATCTGCATTCGACTGTAATATGTCATTGTTATTTGTCGCATCGGTAAAGAATTTCTTAAGAGGGAAATTCTCTACCACCTCTTTTTCCAGGAAAGTGGGATTTGATAAATTCGTCATAGCTATAGGATTATTCTCAAAAAGAACTCTGCGACGTCTACATCGGTGCAAACCATAATTAATGATAACTACAAAATGGCAACAACAACAATAATAATAATAAAGGTAGATGTAAAATATAAATATCTCATAACCACGAGTCAAGTAGTACAATGTAGAAATAATACTTGCGTGAAATACCGAAGGCTATCAAGAACGTAAACAAAATCCCAATAAAAGTAATTTGTAAAGTTGTCGTGATATTTCGTTGAATTGGGTATAACACAATAGATACAAGTGAACTATCACTATCGACGCTTCGAATGTAGTCGACTACAGCCTGACTCACATAGAACGCAGGAATTGGGACCAAACTCGAACTAATGTCCGCTGACAGTCGATCACTCGGTATTGTGCCATTACTGTTATTACTGTATAAAAGTACACCTAGTATTTGATTCGTTGAAATGCTTGCAATATTTTTGATCTGTTTTTGAACGTCGCATACATTATGATCTTGAAATATTGCGATTGTGTTGTTTATGGGATTCTTAGCAATATTACTACTATCACATGCGTCATTTTCAATAAACAAGGGATTTCCCTTTAGATAAAATTAATAATTATTAAATGAAAATGTGCCACAAGGAATATAATTTAATGGAATAGTAATTACCATTACTCCAGTCGATGGTGGAAGTGGAATATTAGTAATTGAGGCAACGTCATTTTGATCGCTAGTAAAAATTCTCGAGATATTAGTCTCAACAACAACCATATTAGGTTGCCCGGTAAATAACTCAGCATTCACATTTAAAGGGTATAGTAAACAATACGTAGCAAGTAGAATTACATTAAAAACGCGAATAATCATAACGGATAAAATTTAGACACTGTAAAAAAAAACGTAAAGTAACGCCTATACAACTCGTCATAATTTTTAACTGCTATGAATAATATGAGCATCAGATATGAATTATCTATTCTTTATAAGGTAGTATTGCATGACGCCCGATAATTTTATGAGACCATTTTTAATGATCATATCGCAGGTGATACAAAAAACTCTTGGCTCAAAAAAATCGATTTTTTAATTAGGTTAGGAGCACGGAAAATCATCACACGGGGTCATATGGTTCCGGAAATCTATAATCGCAAATGTTTCTAATATACTGTGCCGAAAAATACAGTATTTTTTGAATCGCTAAAACTTTCTATAGAAAAAAATATAAAAAGTTATAGCGATTTGAAAAAAGAACCAATCTTCAAATCGTTATAAATTTTTACAGAAGAATTTCTTTAAAAAACTGACTGATAACTTTGTGGAGCTCAGTTCGGTGTATAAAGTTATTGATAAATTTTTTTAAAAAAACTTTTCTATAGAAAGTTTTCGGCGCAGTATGTCGAAATACCTATTAATTATTGGTCAATCATGATCACGAGAAATTGAAACCTTATATTTTATCATAGCCAATAAAAAAAAGCATTTTATCACTGCAAATTTCTCTATGTTTTCACGACTAATTCATTATTGGGCTTCGAAATATATCACGGAGAAGGTATGCAAGCGAATATAAAGGGAAAAAAAAAACAGATTTGATTAACATATACAAACCATTATTACTTAATGGAAAGCTGTTAGCTAGTGAAGCATTTCACAGATTTGCAATTAAAACGCATCGAAATGTTTCGAAACTAACAGATCAAGGTTTTTGTTTTTTTTTTTGTTTTTTTTTATTTGACCGTTTATCTGATTTCATTACCATTGTAAACATAAAAGATAATTACAATTCTTTTTTAAGCTTTTCCGTACGTAGATGAAAGTATAAAACGCACAAAAATATTTGCTGATAGTTTTAAAGAAAACTTAAAACGCGAGGCTGAAAGAGCTCGATGGCCTAAAGTTTGAGATAGTGATTGTGATCGATTAAACTTATAAGCTTAGTCGATAAATTTAGATGCTACTAAGAGGCTTAGTCGGTTGTTATTAGTTATCTCCAAAAATTTAGTTTGCCAATAAATAAACTGCAATTCAAAGCTCTCGCTGGCTGCGCTGGTATTTTATTTTATTTTTATTTTTATTTTTACTTTTACTTTTTATGTTTATATATATTTTATTTTATTTGTTATTTTTTTTTTTTACGTAAATAAATAAATTAAATAAATAAGAAATGCAGTGAAAAAAAACAATAGTTATACATTCTCAACGTGAAGCTGATCCAGAGTGCGGTGATACAATGCCCGATAAATGCAGTCGTCGATGACTATACCATTACGCTATCATGACGGCGAGATGACTCTATCCACTACTTAACATGACCCCGAAATAATAATGAGTAAATAAAAGACATTATTTAAGAATTTTTATTATAAACAACATTGTAGTGAACATGTCTTATAACTGTTAAAAAATTTTTAAATTTTAAATTTGAAAAGTTTATAATTTAAAATTTAAAATTTTTAAACTTGCTCGGAAGCCCATTTCGTTTACGACAGCTAAGTTTATATAAATTAGCAAATACGTGTGAAATTAATGAGCTCAAAGATGCTTTTAAACGTATTAAATCATCAGCAAGCTTATCCTATCTAAAACATCTAGCAACCTAATGACCAATGCAAAAAAAAAGAAAGCTAACTTATGTATCTGGTTATTTACAATGTTTAGGGCCCAGTGTTGGCATTGTACAATTATTACATTGCCCATCTCTACTATCTACATACTGGCAATTCGGCTTACAGAGTAAGGAATAATTGCAAAGTTATACTCCTACTTAAGTACCCGGATACAGCCCTAGACAGTGTTGGCATTGGACAATAATTATGTAATCGATAGCTACAAATAATAAATAGTTATCAGACGGCTTATTATGATTTCTGTTCAATAATAAAATTATTAGGCAGATGCAAAGTTCAAACTATTTTAAACTTTCGTTTCTGCTCAATAATAAAATTATTGGGCAGAAAACTATAATAAGCCGTCGGATAAACCCGTTATCAGGCATGTTGATACTGCATTATAACTATCTAAAATCAATTACAGTTGAACCTTTCTAAACCGATATGCATGGTGGGAGGTTATTAGTTTTAGTTATATAGTTATAAACTAATATGATTGAATTTATTTTTTATATTTATAATGTTAGATATGTTATACAAAATTTTATTTGAGTTAATCAAATCAATTTATTGTATTTGTCAAATCTGATATTTTATAGATATTTGAATTTTAAACATTATAAATAATAAGTTATTAGGTTTGATTTATGAAATAGACATGTTAGTTCAATTTTTATTAGTTTTTATGTTATTAGTTTTGACAAAATTAGTTTTGAAAGGTTTGACTGTAAGTATATTTTATATATATATTTTTTGTTATTTTTTAATATTAAGGTTAATTATTTGCAATTTAGAATTTTATTAATAGTATATTCAGTTAATAGTTGCATTACAATTACAGAAAACAATTATAAAAAAGTGTATAATTAGTTTTTTTTTTTTTTTGTAACCAAAAGGTTCTTAGACATTTTAGGGTTTTTTTACTTTCTAAGACCAGTATTGTCATTATTGCAAAAATCTATAGAATAGTGAAATAGCTTTTGTATGTTATCACACTAGTAAAATAGTTCATGTTTTATTAAGTTTGTTATATAATGTTTTAGCTTTCTGGTTTTTCAGTATAAGGTTTATGTAATTTAAGTTTGCAGTTTTTTAACTTCATATGATCTATTAGTTAAATTATTCTTTTTAGATTAGGTTTATTCAATTTTAGCATCTTTTATTAATAAATTATATTTTTCTGATTATTTTTGATCTTATGATTATGTTAGCAAATTATATATATATAAATCCTGTTTTTGCTTGTATTTTTGTAGATTATTAATTGTAATTTTAGTTAAGTTTTGTCTTTTAGTTAGATTTGAACTTGCAATCTTGTAACTGTAACTTCAAAGTGCTAATCATTGCATTATTATTATTTTTTTTTTTATACTTAAGCAGTTACATTAGTATTTTATTAAAATTCTTGAAATTACTATTGCAATTATATAGATGTATTTAACAACTAAGCTTAGCATCATCTGGTTATTCTAATAGCATCTAAGTGCAACTTGCTGCATTAATTTAAACAGAGGTAAGCTGCTTGTCTGACTACTTAAAGTCTGTAATGAAAGGGTTTTTACCTTTTTATGACAAGCTCTAAAATTGTCTTTCTGATTTTATTTTCAATTTATTTTTCTTTTTTTTTTGCTTTTTTTTTTCTATTTTTTACTGACTAGTTTTTTTCTTTTTGCTTGAATTCTTTTTTTTCTTTTAAGTTTCTTTTTTCATTTTGTTAGTTATTTCTGTTTATTTTTCTTATTTATTAACTTTTTTACATTATGTTTTTCAAACTTGTTTATAAAAAATATTTCAGGCTGTTTCTGTTAATATATTCACAAATTATTGTCTCATGTTTACATCTAGAAGTCATGCTAAATTTTTTTAACTTGTTTTTAGAATTAGGCTCTTAATTAGTATTTTTCTTATTTTTATTTCTTTTGTTTTTGTTTTTTCAAATAGCATTATATACAATATATAAGATAGAATTCTAGTTTTTTTTCTTCTTTTAATTCTTTTTATGCTGTTGTAATAAATACTTTTTGTATTCTCTTTTAAAGGCTTGTTTGTTTCTTGCATATTGTTAGGTGCTCTTGTGTTTTTTTGATTTTATTTTGACATACTTGGCATTTTATATTCTTATATGAATCTGGTTTTTTTTTGTTGAGTTTCTTTAATGTCAAAAGTTTATCTAATACATATTTTATAAAAACACTTCTTCTTGTACTACTCCTTTTTGTTATATAGTATATTCTTTTTGTTAACTTTAGCCTTTTTCAGAAATACATCTAGTCATAAATTATTATTTCTGTTATCAGTTTTAGGCTCTTGATCACTGTTGTTTCTTTTCACTTTGCACCTAGTTTGACATTTGTTACTAGCTTACATAGAAGTCTTGTTGGCATGTCTATTCATTTGTTTTTTTACTTTAAGCAGTATTTTATCTTTTTGCAACTGACTTTTTTTATATATTATCTTTCTGCTTATTGTTTTTTTTCACAAAGCTATCAGCTTTATCATTCTATTTTTTTTTGCTATGGTTTTTCACATTAAACCACTCTATTTATATATTTTTTGTTCTAACTAAATCAATTATTTTCACTATTTAAAAAGCATTTTTCCTCTTAACTATTTTATTTTTATTCATACATTCTAATTTTCTGCTAATGTTTCTAATTGTAATATTATTGTCTATAAATATTTCTAATCTTTTTCTTTTCAGTATAGTTAAAATTGCTGCCCATATTGCTAATAACTCTGCTGCAATTAATATTGGCCATTTCTTTACCCTAATGCTATCTTTTCTTCTGACCAATCTTGTGCTTCACTTATCTGTACTCATCTTATATCCATGTTTTTATCTATTGTTTTTTTTTGTTTTATCTATTTGCTACACTATCCATATATATCATGTACTTGTTCTTGTTTCTTGATATATTTTTCTTTAAGGTTTCTATTATTTCTTAAATAATTTTTTTTTTAATTTTTGCTTTCTAACTAGCTCTATTTTTAGATCCTTTAGTATTCTTAGCTTTGTTAGCTTTTATTTATTTTTCTTCAATTCTTTTGTTCTTGTATATCCTATTAGCTAGTCTGTTACTGTCTTGATTATGTTGTTGGTTTTAACTATTAGTGTATCTAAAACCACTTTTAACTTATTATTAATTTTTATCTATTGCTGAT